AACCACAGTGATGCATGACCTTTCATACAGATCTGCTGGTCTTTTTACCTCTATATTTTAATAAAGATTCTAATTAATTCTCTTCTTCTATCTTTTTAACAGGCTCGGTGCGTTAATAATATATTGCTAGTTAATTCACACACAGGTTTTAATATTGTAAATCCAAGGACAGCTCAAATGTTTGGGTAATTCCTCATCTGAGCTTCTCTCTTGTGGCATATTTAGATGCATAAAATATAATAATACAATAAATATTAGTTTGTGCAAATTCATTATAGTTGTTGCCTCTATTCAGTCCTTTGTAAATGATTTTCTTGTGAAATTCCAAGACTTAATTTTTCATATTTGGGTTTTGTATTTTCAGTTCTGTTGTTTTCCATTCCCTGCAGTTTCCAGAGTTCATCCAGTCCCTCACAGTCGGAGGAGATCCACAAACGAGTGCAGAGAATCCTAAACATCCACGGAGCCCGCTGCAAGCTTTCTTTTTGTGCATTTGTGATTTAACTTCATGATTTAACTGGTCTGAAATTTATAAGTAGTATTTCCCAAGATGACAGAGCTCCAATGTAAGGGCGATAGCACAGACTAGTGGTTTGAGCTGGTATTGTTGGTATTTATTTCAGAACATCCACGGAGCCCGCTGCAAGCTTTCTTTTGTACGTCTCGCCTGAGATCGCAACTGCATGTAATGCTGTCATTCAATGCGCACGTTAACCCGTGCAAAAGCAATCTCCAAAACACTCATTACGGCACATGTCAGTGTTTCAAACGTCCTCCATTGATTCTGTCAAGCGCTCTGTGTTCTTCACATCCATTGTGTCAGGATGTGCCGCCACTGTCTTCCAGGAAGTGAACGAGGTAATCACCTTACGTGCTCATTCTTTCTGTTCGCTTGAGTCGTGGGCCGCTTAAACGCATCAACACCCACGCCGTGTTTCGCTGGAACACCCTGATGTGAAAGAAAAGCGAAAGAGTTCTTATTACACTAAAGCGTCCCCAAATCCTCCCTTGGAGGAAAAAAGGAGCGCATGTTCAGGTCTGCAGGCTGACGGCTGTCGTTACAGGCTCATCTTTTACAGATAGAAGAGAGAGAAGAGATGCCACAGTGGCACAGTTGGGTGCCAAGCGCTGCGTGGCTGAAGCCCAGCTCGAGAAGGGAACTGTGTAATCCACTCCAGATTTAAAAAGAGAGAAGGACTGGGATTTATTTTTAAGAGTTTTAATCAAGCAGTTCAAAGGATTTGCTTTTATGAGAGTTTCACTCTTATTGCATTAGCAGATTTTGGAAAAAAATTAATTGGTTTGGGATATTCGGCAACGCTGCATATCTTTGTGCTAATTTCACCGTATTATAATTAAACATCGGCTTATTGCATTATTTAGTGATAATGATTTGAATATTTTCATGACTAAAGTGTGTGTGTGTGTTGTCAGGATGAAGAGAGTGAGGAGGAGGAGGGGGTCAGACAGAGTTCACATGTTTCTACCCACTGTGACTCAGTGATTGACAACCGGCTACCGCAGGACAGGTAAACATCGCCTCGTTTCAAACAGTTTAGGATTTCTAGTTTAAATTCACATTTAAAAAATATTTCTTTGGGTTATATACTGTATATACACACAGTTGAAGACAAAATATTTCATTCTTTTTTAAATAATTCCCAAGTGCTCTTTAACCGAGAGAAGTTTTTTCAACACATCATTTCTAAACATAATAGTTTATTTAGGAAGCTTGGAATGTTTGTAATATAAATAAAAACAAAATTATAACCAAGAAAAAAATTATTAGCCCTCTGATGTTAATAGTCAATGGTCTATCTCTTTTGCTTGATAACAGCCTTTAGTTGTTTGTTGTAGTTCTCAACAAGTTTCAGGCATGTCTCCTGAGGAGTTGCAGACCATTCCTCCTTAGCAAATCTCAAGCTCCTCCAGATTTGTTGGTCTCCTGGCATGGACTCTGGTCTTCAGTGTGCCCCTCAAATTTTCTATTGGATTCAAGTCTGGGCTTTGTGCAGGCCAGTCAAGGACGTTCACTTTGCTCATTTGGAGGTAGTTCTACACCAGAAATGAGGTATGCTTTGAGTCGCTATCATGCTGGAAGACAATTGCAGATTGCCTGAAGTTGTCTTTCAAAATCTTCTCGTAGTCTTCCGTTTTCATGATTCCTTTGACCCTGACGAGATTCCCAGTTCCAAACGCACTGAAATATCTTCACAGCATTATACTCCCACTGCCATGTTTCACTCTGGAGACGGTGTTCTTTGGGTTGAGCACCTGTCCCTTCTTACTCCAAACATAGGCAACATCTCTATGGCCAAAGAGCTCTACTTTTGTCTCATCTGACCAAAGGACACGTTTCTAGTATACATAGATTTTCTCCAGGTTGTCCTTCAAACTTCAGTCTAGCTTGGCGGTGTCTCTTCTTCAGAAGAGGAGTTTTTCTTGGTCGGCATCCTCACAATCCATTCCTGTCCGGGCCTCTAGTGTCCGTCTTCGTTGAGATATCAATCCCAGCCTTGACTAAATCATTCACTAGTGTCTTGGCAGTTGTCCTTGGGTCTTTAGAAACCTCTCTCAATACTTTTCTTTACAAAGTTTTCGAAATCTTTCGCTTCCTGCCTCTGTTCTCCACTGTGTGGGTCTCTTCAAACTTCTTGATAATACTTCTCACGGCTGTTCTTGACACTTGAAAACACTGATAAACATGTATATGCTTCTCCTCCTTTGTGAGCATTAACAATTCTTTTTCTCAAGTCTAAACTAATTTTTTTTGTCTTTGCCATGATGACAGTACATATTATTTTACTAGTTGTTTGGAAAGATACTAATCCGCAGTTTACAGTATAATTTAAAGGCTTAGAGGATTAATTAGGTTAATTAGGCAAGTTATGTTAGTTAGGCAAGTCATTGAATAAGAGTGGTTTGTTCCGTAGCCAATCAAACAGATCATTTCTTAAGAGGGGTAATAATATTGACCTTAGCCATTTTTTTTTTTTTTTTTTATAATTTTTATTCCAGGCAAATGTAAATAAATAAGGCTTTCTCCAGATGAAAAATATAATAAGAAATAAGGCTTTCTCCAGATGAAAAATAATATTAATATCTGAAATTTCATAGGGGGGCTAATAATTTTGGCTTCAACTGTGTGTGTGTGCGCGTGTGTGTGTGTATGTATATGTATGTATGTATACACACACACACACACACACATCCCTTTTTCAGGATGCTATATTTTAAAGATAATTTTGCAAAATTTACACAAGGTCAGTTACAATGCCTTACAAGAGCAGTAAGACTCTTGAAAACCAGCAGAAGATATATGCCCAGGGTCCCTGCTCACCTGTGTTAACATGCCATAGTCCTGCTGCAGGGAGGCATGAGGACTGCAGATGTGGCCAGAGAAATAAACTGCAATGTCTTTAATGTTTGTAAGATACCTAAGACAGTGCTACGGGGAGACAGGAAGAGCAGCTAACCGTCCTTAACCATGTGTCCCCAAAGACTTGTGCTAAAACTTGCAAGTGCTTTGGTTGAAAAATCTACATATAACAGCAAGAACCAGCAAATCTGGTGCAGCCCATGATCATGAAATACACTGTAGTGCCTAAAGCAGCTGATGGCCAGACAAGATATTGACACCCCCCTTTGTTCAGGGACTCATTATTCCATTTCTGTTCGTCAGATATCTGTGAAATTTTTCTGTTTGTGTGTGTGCTTGTGCGTGTGGGTTTGTTTGTGTGTTTGTTTGTTTGTATATATGAAGTGCCAAACAGCAAATAATTATATACAATCTGAATATATATATGACCCTGGACCACAAAACCAGTCATAAGGGCCAATTAAATTTTTCAAAACTGAGATTTATATATTATGAGCCGAATAAATAAGCTTTCCATTGATGTATGGTTTGTTAGGATAGGACAATATTTGGCCGAGATCTGTAGGAAAATTTACAAAATATCTTCATGGAACATGATTTTTGGCATAAAAGAAAAATCTATAATTTTGACCCATACAATGTATTTTTGGCTATTGCTACAAATATACCCGTGCTACTTGAGACTAGTTTTGTGGTCCAGGGTCACACATGTAAATTGTGAATATATATATATATATTGAAGTAAATCTGAATATATAGAAGTAAATCTGAATTAGTTTTAAGCCTGAATATATAAATGTAAATTGTGAATGTGCTTATAATTCTGAAAATATACATGAAAGTTGCAATATATAGCACCTTGAGTGTAAGAAAGGAGCACTACAAATAAAATATATTATTATTATTATATATGGATAAGTCTGAATATATAGATAATATAGATGCAGATTATACATGCATCTATATTATCAGATCTATAGATTATATTAATATATAACATATAGATTCCATTTTGGAATATGTAAATAAAAATCATGAATATATGTATAGAAGTTAATCTGAATATATAATTAAACGTCTGAATAAATACAATTTACTCCGAAAATATAGTTGTAAATTTGAATATATAACCATAAATCAGACTGTATATACTCAAGACTGTATAAGTCTTGAGTGTATATATATGTGTGTGTGTATATATACATTTTTTTTTTAGCAATACAGTAAGTGTTTATGGAATGTCAAATTAAAATTGTGTCCTGTCCATACTGCAGGCTTATTCCTGGAGAGCCATCTGTTCATTTAGACAACGGCACATTCTGGACTAACAGAGCGGGTGCGTACACAGGAAAGCCCCACAGAGCTGTGTTTGAGGACGGTTTGAGCAAAATCTACAAGAACCTTTACAGCAACGCATCACAGACAGGACACAGTGGACAAAGCACCTGGACACAGTGATCATAGATACATTCAATTAGTCATTTAATGTATTTGCATATGTCTGGTAAATCAAATCAGGAAAACCGTATGGGTAGTGGGAGTTTGACAAGATGTTATTTACTTTTTTTTTTAACTTCCATAATGATAACAGCAGTAGTAAAAACAAAAACCAACAGTACACTTTCTTTGGACTTGATTTATTGTGACTCCACAGAGGTGTAATCAGTCAGCCAATCTCTATAGAAAAAAAACTCTAAAATCTATAAAAATCATTATCTCTGTACAAGTTGCATGTTTTTTTTTTACATGCAATGTGTATGATTATAACACTAAAAATGCCTTTTCAATAATCCACCGTAAATAAGGCAACTATATATTTTTATTTTCAAAGGCTAAACAATTCCTGTTCAGGAAAGAGGAAAAAACTGATTTGCCTTATGAAATTATTTATTCATTTTCTTTTTATGGAACTTGTGCTTCTTTTTGTTCATCTTGCCAGCAGCCTGTGCTGCTTTTTCTGTCATGATCTCTTGATATTTCTTTTTGTTATAGCTGAAAAGAGAAGAAAAGAGGTATTTTAGTACGACAATTAATTTAAAACAATAGTGAGCACAATCTATAATAAAAGCCCATTGTCATGAATATGAATCATTCATTTACTCCATATAAAGCTAATCAGCCACAGCTTTCTTACCTTCTAAACTCTGCATCTGCAAGCAGCTCCTCCACCATGGTCCTTTTCCTTTGTTTCTTAGGGATTCTTGAACTATAAAAGTCTATTGGGTTGTCAACCACCGTACCAACCTGAAACAAAAAGAGCAAAACTTTACTAAAGAACAGAACAATATATGCCACCGTCTGCTTTTCTTTAAACATGTACGCCTATGGTTGATTGCAACGTCAGTATTTTGATAACCATTCTCATTTTTTGTTTTCACCATTTTTTTTTTTGTCTAAGGAACAATGGCTTTTTGAAAAGTTGTTTGAGGGGAAAGTCTGTTGCTGATAAAGACTTCCCAACCAACCTGAAAGTACTTGGGAGGTCCTTCTCTGTCATTCTTCTTGTAGAAGCGCTTTGGGTCCATAGCTGAGCGCATCTTAAGTGCCTTCAGGTCATTTTTGAGCTCTTCTGTTAATTCAGGAGCTCTCATGTTGAACCAGCCATCACCAGTTGTCTTTTCTCTTTCCGCCTGTATGACAAATATCGCACAAATAAGATTAGTACATCGCTTAGAAAACCCTGATGTAATCAAAAGCATGAGAATTACAAACTTTACTTGTTAACACTATCGCTATAATGACTTGAGTTTTCGCCAGATATCATAACCATTTCTTGAGTATTGAAGATTTAAAGTGACACACTATTGTTTCTAAGTTTTTATCTCACCAAGACTACATTTATAATAAAAAAATACTAAAAAAGTATTTTTGAGAAATATTACCATTTAAAATTACTTTCTTGTGTTTAAGTATTTTAAAATGTAATTTATTCTTGGCAAAGCTGAATTTTCAGCAGCCAGTCTTCAGTGTCACATGATCCTTCAGAAATCATTCCAATGTACTGTTGTAAACACTTATATAACAGTCACATATTTGTTGTAGCAACCATGATACATTTTTAAATAGAACTCTTTTGTAGCATTATAATGTCTTTTTTTTTTCACTTTTGATCAATTTAATACATTCTTGCTCTAAAGTATTAAACTCATTCATGCTTCATACTACAATCATACTGACCCCAAACTTTTGAACGACAGTTTTAAGTTTTCAAGATGAATTAATAAAAGTAAAAAAAAAAAACAGCTTTCCCTTCAAGGAGACTCAAAATGTAAGACCATCCATTTGTTCATGAACTGGCGTACCCACCTTGCGCTTGAGTTTAGCAGCATGCTTTGATTCACTGTATGGTGGCACAGCATCTTTTTTCTCAAAATCCGGAACGATAACACTCTTCTTCAGCAACTACAAAATGAATACAACATTTTTCATGCTCTTTAGCTTCAATAAGCATCTCCACAAACTGCTTTGAAATGTTTTGAAATGCTTATGATAAAAAAAATAATAATATTGAGAAATATTACAATTTAAATATACAAATATAGTCAATGTTTCATCTAATAAATGATTATTATTTACCTCATCTGGATTGTTCAGGTCCTTCTGGGTTTTCGAACTGTTGGAAAGACTCTTTGGCTTGTTGCCATCAAAACTGATGTACAAACCACCAAGTTCCTTCATTTTCAGACCTGTGTCAATGGCACTAGATAGCTGTATCCTGAGCGAGAAAAAAACTGTTTGACATTTTCAGACTAAATATAATTTAAACATCACATGTAAATATTTACTGAAGAGCTACAAATATTTAAACACTTTTAATATTTAAAAATCAATACAATAGGAGAAAAAAAACTTACAGAGGCTTTTTGGAAGTGAACAGCACTTTTGAATCTTCATCATTGTCATCTTCTTCCTCATCAACAAAATCCTCCTCATCCTGTTCCTCGGTTTGCTTGGCATCAACATAATACTGTTTCTTAGACCGTAGTCCAGGTTTAGTGTCTATGACAAACAGTCCGTTACCGTGTGCCTCTGGTTTTTCTGACGCCTGATTTCCATCAGGGCACATCACATCGTCTTCACTCCGCACAACTTCAGTTTTCTGTGAACAACCTTCCTCCTCTGAAGACAGACCTTCATCAGCACTGTCTTCATCCTCACTGCTGTCGAGTAAACTGATCATTTTTTTCTGGGGAGGAGGTTTCTTAGATATTTCCTCTGTGGTGATCAAATTTGGTTCAGTGTGTGAGCTTGTAGAAGGGCCTTCAAGGTCATTCAACGTTACAGAATCGTTTCCAGTTGTCTTAATGGTGTCATTAGCTTCCTCATAAACGATTACACCTTTCTTTTCACACTCAACCTTGTTCTCATGCTCCTCAACCACAGTTGACACAGGATCTTCTAGGGTGGTTTCTACCACATCCTCCTTCACAGGCTCAGAACACGTTTGCTCCTCAATGGCCTTCTCAACCACAGCTGGTTGAGGAACTTCTGCCACAGCTTCTACCATATCCTCCTTCACAGGCTCAGAACATGTTTGATTTTCAACAACATGGCTTGTCTCCACAAATTCTGGCTCATCATTTTCCATGGCAACATCTCCAGGCTCTTCAGTTAGTGTAGCAGAAGTTTCATCCACAGGTTTTTCTTGAAGTGCCAGAGTTTCAGTTCCACTGTCCTCCACCGCCTCAACATCTTGCAAGATGCTCTGGGGTTCCTGCATCTCGATGGGCTCATCCTGATCAAGAACTACAGTGGTATCTTCAGCTCGCTCCTCAATCATGGTGTACTCTTGAGCTTCACTGGTGTCCATGGTCACAGTGCTATCCAGTTGTTCTACTGTGTCTTCAGCTTTATCTCCATCAGGTACTGGAATACTTTCAGGATGAGGTTCAAGCTCCTCACCCCGTTCCTCAGGCATGGCAGCAACAGTTGTAATGGTGTCACCTACATCAGAATTCACTTTTGCTTTACTTCTTGCCCTGGTTATAGGAACCGCACGGGTACTACTAGCAGACCCAGTTCGGCTACTACAAGGAGTCCCCCTTCCTCTTTGAGGGCTTGGGCTCCCCTGAGAATTGCAGACATCAGTAGCTACCGATTCTGAATCTGATTCACCAAGTTTGGGTTGACGCCTGGTGGATCTCCACGGACTCGTGCTGGGACATGACTTGCATCCGTCTGACTCATTTTCCTCGTCAACTCCTGTTTTGCGCCTACTGCCTCTCTTCTTGGACACTGGAGAAGAAGGGGTGTCTGTGGTTTCCTCAAAGCTCAAAGGGATCGGCTGGGTCGGTTTGACCTTCTGGTTTCGAGCAGATCTGCGGACCACAGAGCCAAGAAGGCCAGAAACACTGGAGGAGCATGACTCTGGTTCAGATGAATCTGCTTCTGCGGAAGGAACAGCAGTCTTCCGATGGCTCCTTGTTATCCGACGAGTGTCCATAGCTGTAGTGACAGACACAGCAGAACTGCAGGACTCGGTCCCTGTGGGATCATCATCATCGTTCTTTGCGGCATCTTTTGTAGCAGCTGAAGTCAGAACACGCTTCCTCAGGCTGCGCGGAGCACTGCGAGAACGGGTCGCGGACACCTCAGATGAGCAGGATTCAACTTCGGATGCCTCGTCCTGCACAGTGGGCTTCTCCCTGACTGCAGTCCTCCGTCGGGTTCTGGGTGTCGCCTGCACATCAGAAACTACAGAGCAGCAGGACTCTGACTCAGACACATCAGCTTCATTGGTAGAGTTTGGTTCCTTTTTGTCAGCAAGGAGACGTGTGGATCTTCTAGTTTCTCGCTTGAGCGGACTAGCTACTGAGGAAGAGGCAGTACCGTCATCCTTCGGCTCATCTGGCTGGGAGTCGCCTGCAAGTTCGGAGTGGGACTGGTTTTCCTCCATTAGCGTTCTGCGCCGTGTTCTTCTGGTCGAAGGAGTAGGCTGCTGTGAGAACAAGGATATTTGCTTCAGATTATTTGAGGATTCCTTATCAGAATAATGTTACAGACATTTGAGTTGATATTAGAGCTGCACGATTCATCGTTAAAAGATCGCAAGCTTCACAAACAGTCTTTTCAACTACACAGTATTATTTCGGTCTTCTGGTCATTCATATTAACACAGAAATTCTGGGATGAAAGTTTGTAGTTCAGATATAAACATTGATGTCTATGGCAGCGATCAAAATAGGGCAAATCCCCTTTTGAAAGTAATTGGCGCTTCAAATAACGTTTGTGTCGATTGTTTCGCCACTAGGTGGCGACAAGTGACTGTTAAACAATGTGTCATTGAATTATTCTTTCAAGAGATTTGTTCAAAAACGCTGACTTACTGAATTCATCCAGTAATTAAACAAGTGAAATATTCTTGAAGTGAAGTAAAAAATAAAACTTTTTCATAATTTTAATATTAAAAATTGGTGTATTCAATTTATTATATTTTAAATACATATTAAAAATGTTTAATAGTTCATTCAAATTAATAAAACACTTAAATAGACTGCAGCAATAATATTTTGTCACATTGTTTTGTTTAGTTCAGAATCGTGATCTCTATTTGAGACACACAAAAAAAATTGTGATTCTTAATTTATCCAGAATCGTGCAGCTCTAGTTGCTATGCACTAAAAGTTAAATTCTAATCATACACGACCAGTCAAAACAAGTTTGGCTTTACTTATTCAATCTTTATTTATACAATGAAATTAAACCTATCAAGACAATAAAAGTATGGCAAAAGTAGGCATTGCTCAGTGATGGACTGAACATTGATAATTTAAAGGTTGCATGAGGGTTTTATTAATAAACTTTTGAAATATTTAAATTATCACACCGAATCTGGGTTATGTTGTCTTTCCCACCAAGACTTCAATACTTTAACATTTAATAAACTGACAGTTTTACTTGTTATAGAATTAATGCTAGAACCTAATGACAAATACTGCCACATGCTTTGCCAGAAAGGATGAAATTACTTACAATTCACCCAAAACATATGGTCACTTTATAGAAAACTAATATAATTCTCGTTTATGTATACATACGTGGAGGAGGGGGTGGCAAGATGTTGTACATAACAGGAGTATCGCACATGGTGATACTGCCCTATCTGCTGCCCAAAGCTACACATGCAGCCTACAACTGTCTTATTTGTTTACATAACTCAAGTCGAAGAAGAATGCAAAACTGACGACAAAAAAATACGAAGGGACGACATTATCTTTTTGAATACGAACGTGATTTGTCAGTCAACAAGTTTCCCAGATTTGCTCGGGCATGTATGGACACATGGGGCGGCTCATTTTTGCAAGAAAATACATACAACACTGCAATTACAAGCACACACTGGCGCTTCCGAAGAATATATAGACTAAACTACTTAAGTATCCTACATACCGTGGCTCCAGAGTTTTCATCGCTAGTATTTTTCACAGGGGAGCCCACGCGTGTTCCTCTCCTGGTGGCCACCATCTTGCCACTATGATGATGTTAGACGCACTTCCGCTTGCGAGACGCGTTCTCTGGACAAAGATGCGCAGGCGTGACTACTCGATGCAGGAAAGCATCGCTGAGCAGTTTTGAGCGTTGGGCGAGTTGCAAATAATGATATGGATTTCTGTCTTCTTGAGACACTATTAAAATTAATTCATACATTCATTAATGGAAAAAAAAAAACTTCAGTTTGCGTTAGGTCTCAGGAGGATATTGCTTACATCTAACATATAAATATTGAAATGAAAGAAACCCAATGCCAGTCCATGTTTCGTTTTTCAATTCCGAAGTTTATAAACCACATTAAAAATGTTTAACACAATATGGGAAAATAGTAATTACATGTACAGTACATAAAAGAAAAACTCTATTATACGATTGGCTCCAAAAGGAATCGTCATTACAATGAATAAATAACACAGGTAAAAATATATATTCTGACTATTCGTTGGATACTGGAACTATAATCATTATTTTCCTTCGAGTGTGGAATTGTCCAGTGTTCTTATATACAACGAGTTAATGCCGTTCATGCCATGCATGTTTACAGCCTCCCATACAGTTACATATTTGAATATTTCTTTTTATCAGATAAGCAAGGCATTTTGTTTACAAAGGGATGCAAAAGAGATAGAATCATCTGTTGAAAACGGGTAAGAAAACATTTAGTGAACACTCCAAGCAAAGCATCGATCAAAATAAATGATACAAACTTAAAATGCTAGCATGACTTAAAATTTAACATTAAAATTTAAAGTAAAAAATACAACTATGAGGCCCACTCTTTAAAAAAAAAAAAGTGGTTAACATTTTTAAATAAAACAGAAAAAAAAAATCACAAAAATTACAGGGGCAATGATTAACAAAACAATCTTATGGTATTTGAATAATCTTAATCTGATGTCCTATCAACCATTGTTTTATATTAAATTTGTACCCTTTTGAAAAATACAGAGAATTTAACCAGGCCAGGTCAGGAAAAAGAGAGGCACTTTGCATTTATCTACAAGAACAGATAGCTGTCTAAATATTCTAAATCATGAGGAAAAAGTGGGTCGAGTGAATTTTTGTTCTTTTGAAAATTCAGATTCACTTTAGTGTGTTGACAAAAAAAACACCTGTAAAATATGCATCAATGATGTAGTAGCTCCCTACATTTTTAGGAAACCCTGTTCAAACTGGACATGTTAAAGGTTGTTGCCCTTTTTAGCATGAACAATGTAGCCTTTTGCTTTTATGATGCCTCTGCTCTTGACTATGATGGAGTACCGTAAGACCCACTCCAGCCTCCAATCGTCCACCTGCAGGTCCTTACTGCTCCCCTGCACTGCTTCCTGGAAGCCTGCTGCACTGATTAGCTCTAGACGCAAGAAGAAATATTGGCATTATTAGACATGCAGTTTCATAATTAAACTGCAGAACCAGTTCGTGCACGCAGTCATCGAGCTCAATGACTCAGCATAAAATACACACCTTTGGGGTCATTGTGCGTAAGCAATTGTATGTCAAACTCTTTAGCAAATGCAGTGAGGTCTGGAGGCATCACACAGCACGAGGCCAGATTCACCTGATTACTACTTGGCTTTACCTGCATAGCATGAAAGAGCACAAAAATACATTGTAAATAATCAATTATTCTGTTATGTGCAGAAGAAATGCACACTCACAGCAGACCTGAGCCCAGTTATACAGCTGCTCTAAAAGAGTTTTGTCCAAGTCGGACGTGCCGATGGCAGCGATCTTCTGGCTTTGCACAAGACTTTCCAGCTCCTCCCACAGCGGCTGCAGGTGGGTCAGCGTCTGTGCCTCACCCTCGGGGAGAGGAGGTGGAGCAATGATCACTGAGTCCAACTGAGATACGCCTAACGAAAGACAAGCTGAACAACACAGAGGAGAGGAGAGGGGGTTATGGTCAAATCAACTGAAATTAATATTCACATACACTACCGTTCAAAAATTTGGGCTCAGTAAAAAGAAGAAAAAAAAATTATTCAGCAAGGATGCATTGAATCGCTAAAAAGTGACAAAAACTTTCACACTGTCACAAAAAAATTATTTTGAACTTTCTATTCATCGAAGAATCTTGAAATAAATGTATTATGTTTTCCAAAAAAATATCAAACAATGTTTCTTGAGCACCAAATCAGCATATTAGAATGATTTTTGAAGGATAATGCGACACTGAAGACTGAAAATCAATGCTGAAAATAAGTTACATAAAAAAAAGAAGTTATTTTTGGTATTAAAAATCTTTCTAAATATTTAAGTTTTGATGTATTTTGATCAAATAAAGCAGTTTTGGTGAGCAGAAGAGACTTCTTTCTAAAAGCAGTGTATATATTGACTAGGTGATTTGAAAGTGTATTGACAAACTGATTTGGTTAAAAAAAAATAAAAAATACTGCTACTTAGGTATATTTGATGCCACTTGTTAAAAATGATGGTCATTATTGAACATTTTTGTATGAATTTTATTTCTAATCTTCACAAATTAGTCATATCATGAGGACGTTGCTGATTTCTTATTCTAAGGGGGCATTTATTAGGTGAAAAAAATATTATTTTAATTAATTATGGGTCATAATTAAGGGTCAGAGAGGGATCATTAAAAAAAAAAAATTACCATGATAATAAGAGGACCTCAGGGAAAAAATATATATATACAGCGGGTAAAATAAGTATTGAACATGTCACCATTTTTCTCAGTAAATGTATTTCTAAAGGTGCTGTTGACATGAAATTTTCACCAGATGTCGGTAACAACCCAAGTAATCCATACACACAAAGAAAACAAAACAAATAAGTTCAGAAATTAAGTTCTGTGTAATTAAATGGAATGACACAGGGAAAAAGTATTGAACACATGAAGAAAGGGAGGTGCAAAAAGGCATGGAAAGCCAAGACACCAGCTGAAATCTATCAGTAATTAGAAAGCAATCCTGCCCCTAGTCAGTGGAAATTAATATTAGTTGGTTCAGTCCCAACACCTACAGTACCAGGATGATGAAGATGAAACAAGGGTGGACATTTCAGCGAGACAAATGATCCAAAACACAGCCAAGGAAACTCTCAACTGGTTTCAGAAAAAGAAAATAAAGTTGCTAGAATGGCCCAGCCAATCACCTGACGTGAATTCAATAGAAAATAAGAACTAAAGATCATAGAGTTCATAGAAGAGGCCCACAGAACCTTCTAGATTCGAAGACTCTGTGGAAGAATGGGCCAAAATCACACCTGAGCAATGCATGCGACAGTTTATCCATACAGGAGGCGTCTTGAAGCTGTCATTACCAACAAAGGCTTTTGTACAAAGTATTAAATACATTTCAGTGGTTCAATACTTTTTCCCTGTGTCATTCCATTTTATTACACAGAACTTAATTTCTGAATTTATTTGTATTGATTTCTTTGTATGTATGGGTTACTTGGGTTGTTACCGACATCTGGTGAAAATTTCATGTCAACAGCACCTTTAGAAATATATTTACTGAGAAAAATGGTGACGTGTTCGATACTTATTTTACCCGCTGTATATATAATGTGATCCCTTTCAGTACTAATTTTCATATTTACTCTAATTACATGGAGCCTTAAACATCTCAAATACGCTCTTAGTATGCTCAATTCAGTTAGATTAGGGTAACAAACTTGCACTAAATCTACATAAACAGTTTTACCTAATTAAACATAATAATATTCATATATACAGCATCACATTAAACAGAACTTACCCATGTCCACCGCACTTCTGATGGATGAACGGTCCGACTCAGTGAGAAAAAGCTTGACTGTAAAGACATTTAAACATATGTAATAACATGCACATGCACTGCAACAGCATTCTTTAATGCATTAAGGATCAGTAATCTTCACCAGACACTTTCAGCTCCTCTCTCTCCTCTGGGGTGATGGCCTCTGTGTTTTCTGGAATAGTGCAGTCCAGAATGCTGGGAAGCTCCTGAGAAGAAAATCAAAGGTAATTGCAAAACCATGCTATCATGGAAAGTATCCAGTCACTTACTGGATTATGCATTATAGTTGCATAATTTTTGGGCAATCTTGTGTCTATGGAACTCACTTTCCTTTGCATGTGAAAACATTAGACACCTTGTTAATGGACTGCATGAAAGGAATGCATCAATAAGCCTCAGCTTTTGTGTGCTAAGACCTTTACTCTCTACTTGCTGAGCTCTCAGGCAGATTCGCTGACAATGGCAGAAAGAGCCAGAGCAGAGGCACAGTGGCCCCATGCCATGAACAATCACCATAACAACTGTCTTTTCATCCCACTGCCTATATATGCTTTAATGGTGCAAAAGAGGCAGACGGTTTGCTTTCCCACAATCCACAGAGTGCTCAACTGTTTATGTTCAGTGGGTCTGATTACTTCATGCAACTGAAATCTTTAACATGTCAAAGATGACATTTGTTTAGCTTAAAACGGCTTGTTTATAAGTTCTCAAGGTTTCCTTTTTCACTTTCGTAATAAGTGTCATGCAAGGTCTTACAGAGTCAAGAGATGACGGCATTGTGGCAAACCACTCGCTCAGTGTGCCTTGGATGCAGTCTTGTAGCTGTGGATTCAGAAAACATTGAAAAACATTCAAATTATGAAACATAAATACAACATCTTGGCAGCCTTTCCAAAACATATCTCAATATTTATATTCATAGACACTTTTGGCCCTGTAGGCTTTTAGAAAAGTCTAATTTAAAAAAAAAAAATGCATAATTTTGATCAAATAAATGCAGCCTTGGTGAGCATGAGAGATTTCTTTCAAGTCTTACTGATCCCAAACTTTTTGAATGGCAGTGTGTTTGTGTGTATAAACATGAAATAAAATGAAACATTTTATATACCTAGTGTACTGTAGAAACACCGTTATAGACTGTTGAGCAAAAAGATTTAAGACATCAAGACATCATTAACATTCCAGGTATAATCTTGCAATACCATCTACAATCTTCACATATACATGTTTAAACATTACTAATACGCTTGTGTGGGCTTGAACAATAAGCCTCGTTTTTATGATGGATGTCGGAGAGGTTTTAGACAGTAGCTATAGAAAATGCAGTCATTTGTCAGACATCTGTTGAGATTATAAGACATCAGCATGACATTGCATCATTCTTCATTCCAGCATGTCAGAGGTCAGGTCACGTTTAATTCTGTACATCTTCTGTGACAGGTCTAGTGAGTGTTACTAGGCAGAAGCACTGCTTGTATGCACAGCTACAACTAAGGATGGCAAAACAAAGCCCTGGGGTCTCATTTATAAAACTCTCTGTAGATTTCATCCTAAAAGTGTACGTAGGCACAAAAGCTAGATTTTGCGTACGCTCAAAGTTTTTCAGATTTATAAAACCATGCGCATGCCAGAACCTGCGCAAAAATCCCTTTATTAATCCCAGTCAGGGAAAGATTGTGCGTACGTGCGTCTCCACCCTGACTCCTCCCCGAAATCACCATATATGGCGCTTACAACGCCTAGTTTTACTATGCATAACCTCATCTGCATATCATTTATATGCATATTCCCATCCACGTGACACCATGTTTAACACTATCAAATGCTGCGTTCAAGTCCTCCTGGGACGTTCGTACTAACGAGTTGACAAATCGTAATTACGACGTCAGGTGCGTTCAAGTCAGTTTAGTCGACACAAGATGGCGGTGTACCTTCTTTTAATAAATTACAAGAAAATACAACAGGGTCTGCATTTTTTTTACTTGGATTTCAGGAAACTCGGGGCTTAAAGAAAATTTCGAGTTTCCCACTCATAATAAAGACTTGGTGGCGTTCATGTGCGTTCAACTCGTAAATACGATCTATCCGACATGACTTGAACGCACCAAAATGTACAAGACATTAAAGTCCGCGTGAACCGGAAGTTGCTGCCGACTTTATTTCAGTGTAGTGACGTATTTCCAGCTGAAACGGAATATTGAATAGAGGGCATGGTTTTATTTTTACGCTCCTCCTCTCTGTCTCTCAACGGTTGGAGGGGTGTGTTTAAGGATATTCTGCCTAAGCCGTCAAACTGACGTCATCAGAAAAGGAATGCCATTCCAGAGCGGAAGTAAATGTTCAGATTTTGATTAAAGATCACGAAAACAAACAATTTTTTTCAGCGGATTAACTTGCACGGATTAATTGCTCACATAAAGACTAGCAATGTGCGATAGTAAATTAAATAAAGTCAATTTTGATTTCATGCGGACTTCAAGGAAATATGAGATACGGACTATAAATGCCATTTGTGCCACACACATACATTTTTATTGCTAAAAATAATATTTTCCGCCATATTATGTCCGCCATAATATCGAAGTAAGTGCGCATCATTGATCATTGTTCTCGCTAAAACTATTTTCTCATAACATGAGATGTGCAGTTTTCTTTAAAGATAAATTATTGTGCACCTATAGCACTCCTCGCTGTCATTAAAACATAACATACCACAGGAAAAGTAATCAAGCGTATCCACATATCCACTACAAATAGGCTGTCTAAATTCTTATCATTTTGGTTTAACTTCCGAGTAATGACTTTATGTAATTTCAGTGCTTATCTCCATTAATGAAAGTGAAATATTTAATGTAAATGTATATGATGAAATGAAAACAGTTTTATAATCGTTGTTTACTTCATTACTTTTCTCTCTCCAGGGAAAAAAAGTCCGTACGCATGGATCAGAGTTTGCGTGCAGGTGCGCAAATTTTCCCGTCAAGTTTGTTTTTTATAAATCCCACGTTTTGCGTAGGAAGTGGCGTACGCCTCTTTCAGGGCAGGTTTTGTGCGTACGCAACGGTTATAAATTAGGCCCCTGGTCATTTGAACGTAAATGCAACAACAGTGCGATGCACTGCAAATTCTCATACCACATTTTGCATACAGTGGCATGTCATGAGCAGCACGAGGCAAGCTGTTCATTGACGTCATTAATATGGAAGCAGACGGATCATATCTTTTAGCCCCGGAATCATTATGTGAGCCGACTCAATCTTAATGATTCGACCGAACCGATTCGCAAAGCTTTTGGTTGTAAGGTGTTTTATGTTCATGCTGGAACATGAAAAAGAAACTTAGAACCATTTTTTTTCCCGAACAGGAATGCCAGTATGTAGAGGAAAAGTAGGTATAATTAGGCTAATCGTAACAGAATCCAAATACAAAACAAATGTACACAAAATCCAGTTTATACAACTAAAACAACCCATATTTCAGAATTTATATTGAAAACATACTTATTTAATTCTTTTTTTAAAACGCTCGTAAATGATTCGTGCGAACGTCTAGGAACACTTGAGTGACATCTCAAATGATTCTGTGAACCAGTTCGGTGAATGAACCGTCCGAAGGAGTCGATGCTTTAAAAAAGAACCGGACTTAACATAAATAATGGGGTGTCCGTGGCTGAACTCATTCACCGAGCAATATCACACTATAAAACATGCCGTACCCGTGCTGCCGAAATGGACCAATGTCCACCATTAGCACTGCAAACTCATGTCACAACATACCTCCTCACTGGGTGAAGACGGACATTTCTTCTTAAGTCGACTGCGGTTGACTAAATTCCCCGTGTGAAGCTTCAGGGTTGTCGCGTGATTAAAAAGCCGCTTCGCGTTTACATGAGGCTCCATTGCTCCGTAAAAATCGGTGACTGGAAACAAGTGTTGTCTATGTAACTATTAACCGTAGAATGCCCTCGGGTACGATGTTACCCTCTCTCTCTCGAGTGCACTAAACAGTGTAGTATGACTTTGCACTTGTAGTTCATTCAAGTAGAGAGGAGGTTAGAGCAGAGAGTTTCACGCCCACAATAAGAATATGGATGGGTTGCGCTGGAAACCTGGCAAGGATCAGCCCGACGTGGATCGGACGAGTGATTCAAAGCAAAGGTCAACCTTTCTGAGGCCCCCTATTGTCCAACACAATATTCAAAGGACCCCATGTAAACAGAGAAATTTCCTCTGCCTCTTCTTAAGAATGATAACAAAGGTACTGGCTTTCAAGCTTTTTTATTTATAGAAACAAGAAGTGAATCAAAAGAATCCTAATAGTACCTTAAGTATCTGTTCACTTCTGCATGTTCAACAATGAAAACAATCCATGAAGGGACAAACTAAAATAAGAAATACTGAAGTTTTTAGCATTGTAATAAGTTATATAGCCTACTCTTAAAATAACATATAATAAAATAATAATAAATAATTATATATTTTTAAGTCATTTACAGCCTGGTGAGGCCCCACCCTTGGGTGGGAACGATTACGAGGCCTCTTACCTGTTATGCTTTGTCATTATGACACAGCATGCATTATTACAGTATATATGTTTAATTATTATCACTGTGACAGTGAACCGTTTATAATAAACTTTTAAAATTAAAGGTTAGCCTAATTCAAAACCTGACTCTTTTTCAAATAAAAATCAACTCATCAAAATAACAACAAAGATGTGCCATTCACAATTGTTATTTATTAAGCGGGGAAAAAAAGACATTTACAGTAAATAAAATGAGAGCATGTAAGTGCAGACAACCAGATGTGTTTTTCATCAGTACTGGTGAGTTTCTTACAAAAAAAAGTGCCATTCAGAACTTTATAGTACATTCACGCAAAGTACCCCCAGAGAAAAACACTGACAGTGAGTAAAATGAGGGCATTAACATTGCAGACAGTCTTCCAGGTGTGGTCTTCTTCAATACTGGTGAGTTTCCTTTCCAGAGCCTGCCGTTCCTCCTCACTCATCTCTTGTTTAGCCGCATGGGACAGACCACACAGCCACATTCCAGCACGCTTCCACCATGCAGGCGTATCCTCATCTGACCCCTCTGACTCTGTAGTGCTGGGATCAGATTCTCTAGCCCAGGGGTCTTCCAGCTCTACACGCTCCTCCTTACTGTGTCTTGTCCACCAGGTCAAACGAACGAGCTAAAATGAAATATAAGCTCATTATATTAGCAGCTCATATTCAGTGTGTTTCTCCTACAGTATCATTGGAAATATTGTTTTGTGCTTATAAATATACTTTATTTTGATAGTCTAATTTAGACCTTCAACTAACTATAACTTTGTAATTACATGTTAACTACCAGTCATTAGAGTATTCGTATTAGACCATCTGCTTAATATCTGATACATTATTTTGATGGCCCCCAACAGACATTCTACTGACTATAAGTAACTTTGGAAGTATATATCAGTTAATTATACTAACCATAGAGTTAGTTTACATACAGTAGCAAATTAATTAAGAGTTAGTTGCAAAGTTACTAGTTAATAGAATGTCTAAAGTGGACTATTGAAATAAAGTATAACCAATACATTAATAAATAATACATTATGCATGCTTTCTTTGCTGTTTTTAATGCCAATTTTTTTTTAAAGTATTATCTTTATAAATTAATTTTCAAAATTAAGGTAGTCAGTGTACATGTTGTTTTGGTACTGTGGGGAGTTAAAGGGTTAGTTCACCCAAAAATGAAAATTAGGCTGTGTTTTACTCACCCCCGAGGCTTCCTAGGTGTATATGACTTTCTTCTTTCAGACGAATCCAGTCGGAGTTATATAAAAAATTGTCCTGGCTATTCCAAGCTCTTTCATTGCAGTCAGCTGTGTTTCAGTGCTTCAGTCCAAAAGAAGTGAAATAAAAAGTGCACATCCATAAAAAAAAGTGTCTCACACGGCTCAAGCACTGCAAAACCAGCTGACTGCAATGATAGAGTTTGGAATAGCCAGGACCATTTTTAATATAACTCCGACTGGATTCGTCTGAAAGAAGAAAGTCATAAATACCTAGAATGCCTCGGGGGTGAGTGAAACACAGTCTAATTTTCATTAACCCTTTAAAGCTTCTTTTTGTGAAAATTAATAGGGGAGGAAATGGTTCATAAATGAAATAAATTTAAATTATTATCAATCAAATTACATCCATAAAAAAAAGTGTCTCACACGGCTCCGGGGGTGAAAAAAAGTCCTCCTGTAGCAAATCGATGCGTTTTTGTAAGAAAAATATCCATATTCAAAACGTAATAATCAATTTAATCTAGCTTGCTCTCACTGTTGCACACGGAAGCAGCTCCGGGCGGATGATGTATGAGGTCGGTGTTGCGCATGCGCCGCTCAGAAGTGACGAATGTGGAAACGCAGCGGAGAGATCAAAACAAAACAACGGTCACGAATTAGAAGTACAAAACGAGGATTTGTAAAGAAGAATGTCGGAGGATTTCAATATAAGCCAAGAGGAGGCTGGTTTTCCTTTGCTAAAGTAAGGAAACTTTGCTTCCTTTGCTCCTGTAAACAAACGTTGGTTTTCACGAGACTCACCGGCACATGCGCAAAGCCGACCTCATACGTCATCCGCCCAGAGCTGCTTCCGTGTACAACTGTTGGCGCAAGCTAGATTAAAGTGATTATTACGTTTTGAGTATGGATATTTTTCTTACAAAAACGCATCGATTCGCTACAGGAGGCCTTTGTTCACCCCCCGGAGCCGTGTGAGACACTTTTTTATGGATGGGCACTTTTTATTTCACTTCTTTTGGACTGAAGCACTGCAAAACCAGCTGACTGCAATGATAGAGTTTGGAATAGCCAGGACCATTTTTAATATAACTCCGACTGGATTCGTCTGAAAGAAGAAAGTCATAAATACCTAGAATGCCTCGGGGGTGAGTGAAACACAGTCTAATTTTCATTAACCCTTTAAAGCTTCTTTTTGTGAAAATTAATAGGGGAGGAAATGGTTCATAAATGAAATAAATTTAAATTATTATCAATCAAATTAAAATAAAAAAAATAGTGTGATTAGTATGTGATATGTAATTTTTAAAAATTTCAAAATTAAGTGTAGTACATGGAAAGTCCCCAGGTAATTGGGTATGCAGCATTTATCTCCTTTTTGTAAGTTTTGTATAAAAATGGATATAAATAATTATTTAAATGTGTATGTATTTGAATTGCGGTTCATAGTTACATGTTGCTCTGGAATAGGTGCAGTGCAGAGGCTGACAGCTGTGATGATCAGAGCTGTCAGTGCAAGCAGGATGAGAGCAAAATACAGGTAGTGCACATCTTTCAGCAGGGCAGGACGAAGGTCTTCTTCTCCACATGATGGGGTGCTGTACACAAATTCCATTACCATCCTCACAGTGCCCACCACTAGTCCCACCATCAGACCCCAAAAAGCACCCTGTGCAAGATAAAAAGAAAACTTAACTTAAATGTTTTATCAACTGCATCAAGTGTTATAGGCCATTTAACTTTCACTTTATTGCACAGGCACAAGAAAAGGTTAATTAATTCACCTGCTCATTTACTCGCCCCCAGAAGATGGCCATAATGAACACTGTGGTGATGGGAGGTGCCAGGTAGCTAGTAATGGCCTGAATGTAGTCAAACAGTTGTCCACTATTGGCTGTTTGAATGACTGGAATCCACACAATGCTCAGGGCCACTAGCAATAAAATGAACACCCTGTGGATGTAAATAAACAGCAGCAATTAAGAGCCAGGAGACTCAGATTGTTTCGTGAAATAAAAAGTGTATATTTTGGAAAAGGACAACTGTTTTTAATTTGACAGTTTGCATATCAAGTATCTTTTAGCGCCCCAAAACAGGTCAACAAAACCACTCTGATGTGGTTAAACCACTTGGTGGAATTGGTGGTGGACTGTTTCCACTTTCGTTGAATTGGTTTGTATGCTTATAATGAGAGCATTCACTTTTTTAGATACTTCTGTTTATTTTCTGAAAAATATGTTGAAAATGAAAGTGTTCCGAAGTTTTTCCACAAAGCATTTAACAGACTACCTGCCCACTACCATGAGCTCTCTCTCAGAGGCCCGTGGTCGGATCCGTTGCCATATGTCCATTGTGAACAGAGTGCTGCTACTGTTGAATATAGAGGTGAGAGAGGACATGAGTGCTAAAGGTGACTATAGAGACATAACAAAATATTTAAATTATAATATCTATTATAATTTATCACAGACATATATTATAATTTAAATATTTTATTATGTATATCTATATATTACATTATATAGATATATATAATCATTTAAATATTTTATTAGAATATAATTCTAATACTATGAATGCTATTTAGAATAATTGTTAGTTTGTTAAAAAAATTTTTTAAAGCATTTTCTTGTCATTAAAATGATCCTAGTGGACGGAAAATATCAACTAATTGAAAAATCACACGATTATTCTGATAAAAACATAAGGTTGTCATACCCACTGGCATGAGCTCCATAACTAACTTTGGGTAGGCAATGTTAGAGCAGCCCACACTGGCCCCACAGATCTTCATACACTCCTCAGGATCCACACATCCTACTTCATCTAGAGAAATGCACAAACATCACACTACTTACCATAAAAAGAGAGATTTTTAATTTATGCAAATTAATGGTGTGGATAGTCCATTAAACCCCTTTTCATTGGTTTAATCAATGTTCAGGTAACATCTTTCTTAAATCCAGACCATAGATGAAGGGAAATGCAAAGAATGACTGAGTAGTACTTGGGTAGAGAGCTCTGCTGATCATTCCTGGCATAACTATGAAGAACATAGGGAAGACCTTGAGTTCTCAATTTCAATGAGGCACTTAAAAAGTACTTTGAAATATGTTTTCCCTTTATGATTTTCAAACTGCCACTCTACTTATCAAAATTGTATCTGAAGGTAAAAGATCTGTGTAGAAAACACACTGATCCTAGTGGACGGAAAATATCAACTAATTGAAAAATCACACGATTATTCTGATAAAAACATAAGGTTGTCATACCCACTGGCATGAGCTCCATAACTAACTTTGGGTAGGCAATGTTAGAGCAGCCCACACTGGCCCCACAGATCTTCATACACTCCTCAGGATCCACACATCCTACTTCATCTAGAGAAATGCACAAACATCACACTACTTACCATAAAAAGAGAGATTTTTAATTTATGCAAATTAATGGTGTGGATAGTCCATTAAACCCCTTTTCATTGGTTTAATCAATGTTCAGGTAACATCTTTCTTAAATCCAGACCATAGATGAAGGGAAATGCAAAGAATGACTGAGTAGTACTTGGGTAGAGAGCTCTGCTGATCATTCCTGGCATAACTATGAAGAACATAGGGAAGACCTTGAGGTAGCCACCGAGTACCGAACCACCTTTGGCATGAGACAGGTTTTTGGCAGAGAGAGACCTTTGCACTATCACCTTCAGACATGAAACAGATGCAATTGCTTGCTGTAAAACTATTGTTAAGTGTAAAGAGACACATTTGTGAAATCTTCTGCTGAATATTAAATCATGCTAAAATCTACAGTATTTTAAATTCACCTGGTCTGTGCACCACACCCATGTGGCCAGAACAGTGAGTCCAAAAATCAGGCCTGGCCAAGGAAGGTCTCCTGTCACTGGATCTCTGAAGATATGAAAGGCGTCAGACCGAGGAAGATGACAAGTGGTGTTGGGAACCGTGATAGCAGGTACAGCTCTCTCATACTGAACCAGCAAACCCTCATACCAGCCAACTTTGTCGAATGCTGACAGGGGAGATTCAATTGAAATGAATCACTGTACTTACCCTGGAATAATTAATGAAAGTATAACATTTCATCAGCGAGAGATCTATACCTATGAACATGAGGACAAATGCTCCTATTAACATGATGACGGTCTGTAAGGCATCAGTGTAGATTACTGCTGTCAGCCCACCTGCATTAAAACAAGCCACCAATTAAAGCACCTCAACTAGAGTCACATTTAGGCACAAGTTATCTAAAATGTAAGTCACTTATGTGTTGTTTTATTACCAGCTATAGTGTAGAGTGCAGTGACAGCTAACAGCACAACGGTGGAGACGTACAGGTCCCACCCCAGAGACACTTCGATGAATAAAGCCCCTGAAAAAATGTCTGTCTGGACAGAACACAGTTATGATTAACTTATTACACATGTATTACACTTTATTACAACTATGCTAAATTGCTATTTGTTGTTTACCGTTATAGTACACTTAATAGCATACTGTATTGTTGTATGCTATGGTTTAAACTTATTACACACTTTATTACAACTATGCTAAATTGCTATTTGTTGTTTACCGTTATAGTACACTTAATACACTTAATA